CAAAGGGAAGGGCTCGGGATGATCGCATGGCACACACCAGAGTCTTCAGCCTGGGAGTTTTACTCTGATATTTTGATATGACATTTGACATGAGATTTGATATGTGATAGATATTATGAGATTTTGAACCATATATTTTATGATTTTATACTTTGGTAATGAAATGATGGTTTTAATAATGCTTTAAAAACGAAATTTTTTGGTTGTATTTTTGGGATGTTTGAACGAGTAACCTCGGTTGCGATAAGATCGCGCAACCTCTCATCCATGGGCTTTGCACCGAAGCCCGAACCTGATCCCGATCCTGTTCCTAAACCTCTCGTGATCATCACCATCCTCAACTGAAAATATCACAAATAACCAAGATAAGGAATTCTAAAGAGATTCCACCTCACTGGACTTCTAAGAACTACCAGACATGTCATTGCTTCGGGTACATGTTCTGTGCTTTCAGTAGTACGGGCCCAATACTACCTTCCACACCTACCTATACCTTCCCCAAGGCCATACCTGATATCCATAAGTCATCCAATCACAAATCAAAACTTATAAACACATCACTAACTCTGATCCTAGACTGCCCTAGGATTCTCAACCCTCACAAAACCAGGAATCCAGATCAATCATAGCAGGTTGCCCTATGCATGCAAGTTATACACACAGATAATCACATAGATTGTCAAATAAATATTCTACCCTAAACCACAACCAAACAAGGAACATGAATAAGGCAGATTCCCTCATTCTAGGGCTATGCAATTCTAAACATGTACAAATTTGAAAGCATACACTTGGAAAATAATACATACAATCATATTTCCATATATACTATAACATGACTAAAACATTGGGAATACTTACTTCAGCTCGGCCGATTACGCGCATTGCATTCTCCCCTTTTTCTTACAAAAATTGTTTTCAAGAAATTTAATTTTGGTTTCTTTTTGAAAAGCAATTGTTATCATTTCCTCAGTTTGAGTTCTGACACACCCAGAAGTGTTCTCGAATCTCTCAAACCAAGGCTCTGATACCAACTTTTAACAGCCCAATTTTTCAGAAAATTTTTAAACTTTTAATTTTATAAACATCATCCATAGTTAGTATAAAAATCCTAATACATATCCATATTATTTTTGAATTCAGAGTACAAAGAGCTAAATGTGAAAACATTAGAGAATGCACGCCACGTCATCAATCTGGGCCCTTTCCCTTATCAATAGAAGTACCTACAACTTTCAATAAAGCTGTAAGCACAAGCTTAGTGAGTTTCCCAATCACACAAATCATATAATCACATAATGTCATGCTCATACATATACAAACAAGTTTTCCATGGACTCCCTCCATGGTCTTCAATGGAATGCCATGGGCTCCCCCCATGGTCTTATACCCTCATGCCATGGGCTTTCCCCATGGTCTTGCCAAGTGCCATGGGCTCCCCCATGGTCTTTACATGAATCCATACATAAATCAAATAGCAAACCATTACACATCCCAAAACCAAAACATCTCAAATCAATTAATGGGCCGGCCTTGGTGTCTTCGACCCATGAGTGTGGTGAGAAGACTCACCTCAATACTACACGGAAGCTGACTAGGTCGGGACTCCATTATCCGCTCTACATAACCCTAAAACAGAAACAATTTCTTAAATACAACTCAAAATTCCCCAAAACCCCTTAAAGGTCAAACTTGGTCAAAGACTAAGGTCAAAGGTTAAAGTCAACGTCCTGAGTTGACCCAACTCGTCGAGTTTCTCTATCACCCAGACCGATCGGGAAAAATTTCATCAACTCGTTGAGTTGGCCATAAATCCAACCTCTTAATGCATTAAGCTGATACCATCAAATCTAGGGACTCCAAATCTCAGATCTCATCCAGAAAGATGTGTAGAACCATACAAATAGAAGCAAACCCAAACCCTAGGCTCTTTAGAGAGAGTCTTAATCCATAAAGCCCTTGAACTCTCCTAATATGGCCCCAAAACACATATCTAGTGTCCAAAGGTTGTATAATAACGGAAAGTTTCCAACTTTACGTCCATGCAAGCTACAACTACCCTCTAGAGCTTAATAAGGACTTAATAAGGGCCTTATTGCATGAATGGGGCTTGGAACTAAGAAAAGTTTGCAACTTTCAGCCATGAGAAGTCATGAAGGGGTTAGATCTGAAATAATAACCCCTGGAACCTTCAACATCTTGGCTAGCCCAACAAAATCCCATAAACATTCCAAAACTTCCATTAAAGAGATCGAGGAGATAACAAAGCAAGAAGTCGACTTTATACCTCAAGAAGGCTGCTTTTGGTGAAGAGTTTCTTGATATAAACTCCTTATTCTAAACAAGATGCTTCCAACTTCCAAGCTCTTTCCAAAGAATCACCCAAAATCAATTCTCAAGGCTCACACACTCAATCTTGAAAGGATAACGAACTTAGAGTTTTTCGGACAAAGGGAGGCTGGTAAGGAGGCCAACTAAGGGGTTAAAGTCCTTTAAATAGGGTGCAACACCCTAAAATTAGGGTTTCATCATTAGCCGTCAACTCGTCGAGTTGGGACTCCCCGACTCGTCGAGTTGGATCATTAAAAGTCGCACACACAAAAGTCTCTACACGACGAGTTGGAGCTCCCCAACTCTTCGAGTTCCCACAAAATCCCCAATGTTAAGAAATGAAATAATACCTGGACCAAGCGTTACAGGTGGAGGGTTTATGGAGGTTTAAGTTCTAGTTTTCAACTTGTTGAAGCAACAATCTCTGATTTCTTACAATTTTGCATCTGATAATTTTAGAGGTTTAAGTTCTAGTGTAGTTTTTGCTCATTATTGATTAATTGGGTATTCACAGGAAAGCTTCAATCAATTCCCTTCAAGATTCAGCAAGTATTGGGTGGTGACGAGGTGCTGGCTGATTGTAGCGGATTAATATGATGATGGAAGGTGAAGTCCTGATGGTGATGACGAGAGAGATTGAATCAGGAAGTGAAGATGCTATTTTTTTACACGGCAGGAATTTGAATGCCGATCTAGTATCAGTTTTGGTGATGAAGATGGTTTCCAGCAAGGGCTAAGAAGGATGAGAGATTGAAGGTGGGTGACAAATTTGAGAGCAATGTATCTTTATGTGTGTATCTGGGTTCCATTCTAAACGACTGAACTCTCTATATTTCTTTTTCGATCCCCGTCATTGTGTATTTACATTTTATGTGTTGTGTTTGTGTATATCTGGATTTATGTGTGCCTGCATCTGTATCTATATTTGTGTTAGAGTGTTAATCCAGACATTAGTTACACAAGAAAGATAGATAGCTCCATCGATTTTAGTTGCAGGTGTGAGAAAGAGAGAGAGAGGTGGGCCCCTCTTTTTTTAATTATTAAAATAACTATTAGATTTTAAAAAAATTGAAAGAAAAATGAAAAATAAATACCCCAAGGGTATTACAGTGATTTAACTATTCAGAGGGACTATAAAGCAACGAAACTAGCTCAAAAGGACCGTTAAACCAAAAAAATCGAGATTTAAACTAACACCTCAAAAAAAATATATACCACAAGGACCATTTTTACAATTTTGTTTATACAAATTTAAGAGTAAATTACACGATTTGTCCCTCGTTGAAGTGCACAATTGCGCGTTTAGTCCCTATTTTTAAAAATTAACTCGACACGTCCCTTATATTATTAAAAGTTGCCCGCTTCGTCCCTGCCAGAGATAAAATGACTATATTACCCTTTTTATTTATTTTTCCATTTGTTTTATTTTTTTATAATTTATTTATTATTATTATTAATATAATTTTAGAAAAATGAAATGGCTATTAAAGTTGTTGCAACCACTTTTTTTCGGAACGTAAGGACATCTCTCTAGCTCTCCCCCTTTCTCTCCTCTTTCATCTGTATGAACCCATCGGAAAGGAGTTCAAGAATCGTTGATTTCACTGGTGTCCAGAAGTAGGTGGAGAACGAAGGAGAAGTAGCTCTGGTGGGCGGTGTCAGCTACACTGCTTGGGTTGTTGTCGGGATTGGGTAACAAATAGGGAGATGAAGGCAGACAGTCTTCGGTGGGTGCGGGGCACCGATGATGTAGTGGTGGTGGAGCACCGACGACGATGTTGGTCAGGGTTTATAAGATCATATTTTATTACCACTTGCGCATCACCTTCCTTAACACCTCATTCTACCTACCTCTTTCTGCAAATCTGTTGAAGAACAAAAATATGGAAGAATGGAACTGTCACCGGAAATCCAAGCCCCAACCTCGCCGGCGATGAAACCCCTCACCCTCTTAAGCATATCTGTCTCAGTGGGTGATTCGATTTATGAGCAGATCTGTCGGTGATGAAGCACCTCACCCTTTTGAACAGATCTAACGACCACCACCTCATCTCTATCCATCTCTCTTTAATGATGGTGGTCTTGTGGTTTTGCATTCTAGGGTTTCAACTTTACAACTATGGTGTGATTTTTTGGGTTTTTTTAGGGGGGTTTTCTGGATTTTCAGATTTCCGGTGGTGAGGGGGTGAGAGTGAGGGTATCAGTGGATGTGAGCGGTGGTAGGTGGTCAGAGATGGTGGCCAATAGTTGGCCAGAGAATGTAGGTCGGAGATGGCTGGTCAGTGGTGGTCGGAGATGCTCTAGCTTCTAGTTCATGTGTTTAGACAACGATAGATAGAGGAGGTATATGAGGTCCATTACTTTAAATAAAAAATAAATATGTAATTAATTAAATATATCTAACAAATAAAAATAAATCAAAAAGAAAAAGATAAGGGCAAAATCGTCTTTTTATGACTGACAAACTACATTGGGGATGAAACGTGCAATTTTAAACAGATAAGGGACTGTCCGAATTAATTTTTGAAAATAGGTACCAAACATGTTTTTTTGACACTTACGCGAGGGATGAATCGTGTAATTTCTCCAAATTTAAAATACTCAATGCCGGATAGAGCACAAGTTTTCTCTCTCCTAATTATCCTCGCAAATACCGAACTGAAGTATCCGCTAAATTAATTAAACAAACAAACCGAACGATGAGAGCTTGTGGCTGAAAGTCTTTGTTGAAGATGTGCTACCAAAATCAAGCAGTTGCAGCGACGAGAGCAAAACAGTGATTTCCACCATTTTCTTCAAGTCAGTGTCGCCATCAACTTCTTCTATGTTCATCGCCCATGACTACATTCATTTCTCCGCGTTATTGATGTTAATTTGAAATCGAAAACCCTAATTCCCAAAATAAAAGTTTGATATTCAATCTCTTTCTTTAAACAACGATATGTCAACAAGATTGAGTGGCTGTTTCACAGACGCAATCCCACTTGAAGCCCCTACTTCGACCTCTGGATATTCAATTTCTAATAGGAATTCAGAAGGTGGTGGATTATTTCTTGATAACAATACTCTTCCTCATTATCTAATCAATACCCATCACTCCTCGACTCGCCGTAGACATGATATTGGTGTTTTCCGGCAAAAAAATTGGGTTTCCAGAGGTGGGTTCTTGTCAGTTAGTTTATCAGTTAAGGGAGGTAGCGATGGCATTGATAGAAATTCCACTACCCAGTTAATGGCAGAGGCGGTGGGCGCCGGCGATGGTGTGGTGGAGGAGGAGAGTAAGAAGAAGGTTATTATAAGATTAAGGGGAAAACCTGCTGCTATGAACACTACAAAGCATTTGTGGGCTGGGGCCGTTGCTGCCATGGTTTCAAGGTTTTCGTTTCTTCTTATTCACATCTACGAATTTTCAGTTGAATTTATGGCCAAAAAGAAGTGAAATTTTTAATCAATCTTGTAAATTTTAATGTTTTTAACAGAACATTTGTTGCGCCACTAGAAAGACTAAAGCTGGAATACATGCTTCGTGGTGAACAGAAGAATCTTTTTGAGCTAATTAAATCAATCGCTTCTTCTCAAGGCTTAAAAGGATTTTGGAAGGGAAACTTCGTTAACATTCTTCGCACAGCTCCATTTAAAGCCCTGAATTTTTGCGCATACGATTCCTATAGAAAGCAACTTCTCCGGTTAACCGGAAATCAAGAAACAACAAATTTTGAAAGACTCTTTGCCGGCGCTGGCGCCGGCATGACTGCTAGCATTCTTTGCTTACCACTCGACACTGTAAATTCGATCATCTCTTTCTTCTCATTTATTAATTTTTTTATTTATATAATAAAAGTCATCGTGGGATCTAACAGATTCGAACCAAGTTAGTGGCGCCTGGAGGCGAATCATTGGGAGGTGTGATCGGAGCTTTTCGCCACATCATTCAAACAGAAGGATTCTTTTCTCTTTATAAAGGATTGGTTCCTTCAATCTTAAGTATGGCGCCTTCAAGCGCTGTGTTTTATGGAGTTTATGACATATTGAAATCAGCATATCTGAATTCCCCTGAAGGAAAGCAAAGAATCAAGTATATGAAGCAGCAAGGAGATGAATTGAACATTTTGGAACAATTAGAGTTAGGCCCAATGAGAACTTTATTACATGGTGCCATTTCTGGTGCTTGTGCTGAGGTGGCAACTTACCCTTTTGAAGTTGTGAGAAGGCAGTTACAGTTGCAAGTTAGAGCAAATAAAATGAGTGCATTAGCAACGTGTGTAAAGATTGTTGAAAATGGAGGCGTTTCAGCTCTTTATGCAGGACTTATTCCTAGTTTACTTCAGGTATGTTCACATGAAAACATACTCTCTATGATCTTGATTTTGTATTGCTTGATTAAGTTGAAGAATTTGACTAAATGTGTGCAAATATCTCTCAAATTTTGACTCTAAATTACCAGGTATTACCTTCGGCTGCAATAAGCTACTTTGTTTATGAGTTCATGAAGCTTGTGTTGAAGGTGGAGTAAGTTACCATGTTCTTGATTGTAATTCTTACATAAAGAAAATTGTTGATTGCTTTAAAATGATTATTGATTGGAGAACATGTTGGTGATGAAATCAGAATTGAAATCGGTTTGTTTTTTGATGATTTTCTGCTTCAATTTGGAGAGGGAAGTAGTTGGTTGTTCCATTGGTGTTTGATGAACTCATATGCGCCAGTATCTTTATTTATTATACAATAGATTAGTTACGTTGATATTGATTTATAAGTTTTATAATTTTGTTAGCATTAGCTTCTTTTTGATATCACAAGTTAAGTAAAAAATTGTTGTGTCCTATGGGTTACTTTCAATATACTTTCGTGTTCTTCTAGTGAATCAACTAGTTTAAAGGGACAAAAATCAAATTTCGTCTCATCGATCCGAGTTATCTAGTAGGCATGTATGTTGTCGCCATTTCCCCTATTTTCAACTCTGTTCTCGAGAGGGAAATGAGGTCTTGGAAAAATTCGGTTGTGTTGTGTGGTTCACCCATATGTGTCTCCTCATACTCTATCAACTATATAGATATATTGGACGATGACACAATCTATTACACATCTTCTTTATAAATTAATAAATGATTTTTATGAAATATTTTCTTTTGTAACTTTAACAATTGTTGTTTTGTGATTTTAAGATTTTTTTTTCGTTCAGAAAATCGGTCATTGAAAATATTATTGTCCTGTGTGAATATCCGTGGTACATTTTAAACCTCATGTAACATTTTAAAATTAATGACCAAAAATTTCATTTTTAATTAAGTAATTGTAAAACGGAAATTTGAAAACATCGATAATGTCATCTCATATCGTACTCAAAACCCATATGTCAAATATCTCAAAACATGTCATATAAAAATAATGTCAAAGTACATCTCCCATAGATCTCATGTGCAGAAAATCGTGTGTGATGCGCTGCTATCATGCCGGCTCCTTTCCCTTCGAAGATGAAGGACCTGAAACCAAAACTGAAAACCGTAAGCACAAAGCTTAGTGAGTTCCTACATCATATCACATAAACACATACTGCTAGGCAGATCTGGGTGTCTGGCCTGCCCTGTCAGGCATATCTGGGGTGCCCGACCTATCCATGTCAAGCATATGTCACACCCCAAAACCGGAACGACGGAATCATTCGGGGGTGGAGGACGTCATGTTTAGTATCACAAGATATGTATATAGTAAGCAAGTAATGAACAACCATTTCATTTAGAAAGAAAGTGTTTACAATGTGTGTGTTCACAAAACATAGAATTCATAAGCAAATAACAAAACAAGACTTGAAGCTATAATGCTCCATCTTCTGAATTCCTTGCACGAGTACCTGTCTAATAGGCTCCTGAGAATACAAGTTATTTGAAAAAGTTGATCAGCAATTAAACTGGTGAGTTCATAAGATTTTAGTGATGTAAGTACGTTGTAAAAAGTTGTTGAAAAATGTAGTAAGTTGTAGTAAGTTCTGTTTAGAAAAGTCTGCATGTTCCTCCAGAAAATCCTGTATTTCCTGCTTTGATGAAAGATAAGTAAAAATGACTCTACAGTCCTTTCTATGAGTATTAAATGGATACAAGTTATATAAAACCCAGAGTAAACAAACAATGGGTTGTGCGTATCTGCCTTAAGCCCACAACCAAACAAGGAACATGGAATGAGGCGGAAGGCACACAATCCATTGGTTGTTTGATCATCGTTGTATATAACCCCGGCGTATTCACTTGGTACTCATGGGGTTAACTGTAATAGTTCCTTTATATTTAATGAAAAGATTCTTTAAGAAA